TTAGATGGTGGAAGGATGCCAGAGCATGGAGACACGGAGTCTAAGGATCTTTTATCATTTGGACTGTGTAGTATGAGTTGTTGTAACGGCTATGGAAGCCTGTGTGGACAGTGGGAGTTATGTGAGATTCATTATTTTGATTATCTTCAGCTCCATCTGTGGGTTAAAAATATTTGTAAAATGATTCCAAGACAATCGTCCCTGAGAAGACAGCAGTATGTGAGTCCATCATGTGGCTTAATCTTGTATTGTAACATATTTTTATCATATCATATTGTTTCACTATGAGTTGTAATTCCTGAACTCCATCCTTAAGTCCATTTGTAACATGAAGATGTTACAAATGGAACAAGCCAAAAATCATGTGGGCGGCTTCCATATTACTGGAATTCTAAAGACTCTCCACTGTATAATCATATTTTCATGACTGATAGTGATTCAGAGAGGCCAATACAGTGTCAGTTTTTGTCATCTAGCTCTTTCATTTGCAACAAAAAGACAGAAAATCAGCATTTCAAAGTCCACATGAAATGACAACCTCAGAGCAAAAATCTAATTTGGCCTCAGTTGCTTTTATTCTAAAATGTGAATAAGACTGTAACATTTTCTGTAAACAATTCAAACTATACAGTGAACTCATCTTTGATTACAGGAATTTTAATGCTTGTAATTCAGCGGTCTGTCACACCATTAGAAACAACTAGTGAGATTAAACTGGGCAGTTGGGTCCATAATTGTGCTTTCTCTTTATTCCTCCTTTACAGGAATTTTTCAATTTACTGCCAACACTCGCAGTTTTGTAGAATATGTAAATGTACTTTGTGTTTAATCCTAATTAACCAATTTGCGGTGATGACGCAGATCCAAAATGTGTTAGCATTCAGCCCAAACCACAACATCAACACTGCCAACACTGTGGATTATTTTCATATCATGAGAAATTTTACAGACTGAACTCTAGGAAAGATGATTACTGAGGCGTCTGACTTAAATCCAATGGCAGTTCAAAAGATGCAAAAACAGTTATTGAGTCCAGTAGAAAAGCAGATAAAAAAATAGCCTGGATTAGTGTTTATGATTTGGGATTTAACGGAGCCGGAGTCGAGTTTACGGTGTGTGACATGAAAACCTGGGAGACAGCCATGGAAGTTGAGATGAAGAGCGGGTTTTTAGGGAGAGCAGCTGGTCCATCTCTGCTGCTCTGTGCCGAGTGGAACCTCCCGTCAGCGGGACACCTGACGGCCGGTCCCTGTCCGCCCGCTAGCGTATGTTCCTACTCACAAAAGCCTGGACTATCTGCCTTAAAGGACCCCCGGGAGGTTACCTAATGTTATTGTAACTATTTGGAGTATTTATAAGGTGCCATTCTGCCCTGAGGGGGAGCCTGTGTTCTGTAAGTATGGAAGCAGCTGTTCATAAGCGGTCCTTAAAAACAATAAAGCTGACCCGCAAGTGACTTTTAATCAGCCTTGTTCATGTGATTTTAATGCTGTGATTATCACTACATGCTCAGAATAAAGTCTCATGACATGTCAGCATCAATCCAAGTGCTTTTTCTTCCCTTTTGCTGGCTTGGCACATTTAAATATCCAACAACATTCAGGTCAAATGAGCCCGACGGGTAGGAAACACCTTGGCTGGACAGGGTAAGCTGGTATCTAGGGCCCGACCATGGCACTCTTTGGCCCCCCTGCCACCACTGGCGGTCGGGGTGTGGTCTCCTTTTCCCGAAAAGTCCAGTCGAACTCTGTCCCCACTGCCGGGGTCAGCTGCCTTGTTCCAGCTCATGCTTTGGTTTCCTGTCTGCGTCACTTTCCACTTCTTTAAAAAAAAAAAAAATCTACTTTCCTAATTTTGACACTTTTCCTTCCCCCGCAACAGCATCAAAAACTCGGATCTGATTTGGAAAAAAGCGGATGAAAATCGTTGTCACGTTTTCCATTTCTGGGTGGAATTCTACGAATCGGCATCCCTCTGGGCTGTGATAACTATCTGCCTGCTCTCTGTCCGTCTTGGGATGGGTTTGAGGTTTTCCTGTGAAACGTGTGGGAGGGGAGGAAAAGCTTTTTTCTTTTTTTTTTTTTTCTCTCTCCAGAGCACAAAAACGATAACCTATCATTTTTTGGTCTTGGTTCTCAGCCCGTCAGGATGGATTTGCTCCCAGCAGTGTCACTGTCTCTGGGTCTGAGTGGGGCCATGCTGTGGGCACGAATATGAGGCCTGTCCCTCGCGCTGTCCAAATCCCATTTCGGTTTTGTCCTTTTTGTCATCACTTCCCGCAAATTTAACCTCTAACTTTGCCGCTTTGGTGCAGAGGGTGAGGAGCAGTCCATTTGTCATCGAGTTCAGTTTCAGCTAGGAAAGTATGGTGTGGAGCGAGAGCTGCAGGACGTCAGCTGCCCGGCAACACAGACCCTCCTTTGTTGTATTTTCGCTTTGTTAAATGCCAATTATTTTTCAGTGAGGAACAGATGTGGACAGGAAGCAGGTCAGAGAAGCACCTCGACTACTGATGTATGGAGGCAACATATAGTCATGCATTCAGCACCGAGCATGGCCTTCCCTGAAAAAGACTTCACCCTTCTGTCACACACGTTAGATTCTGACCCATGTTCTGGACCCGTGTTCTGACGGGAAGCTGGCGGTCTCTCTCCTCTAAAAGTAAACTCACTGATGATGGCCTTTCAGAATATCCCGAGCCGATAGCGGTTTCACCTGCAGATATACTTGTTTTCAAAGCAGAGGTCACGGTCTCGCAATTTTGGTTTTCAGCCTCGTCCCCTGAGAGCAGATTTATCCAGAATTTTCTTTTCTTTTCTTTGTTTTTGGTGATTTCTCTGCAAGAAAAGCTCTTCCATTCATGTCATGTGCAGGCAGTGCAACTTATTAACATAGCAGATTTTTATTCACTCTCTCTCCAAAAATAGAAATGAAGCATTCAGGTGCCGAGAACTATTCGTAGAACCATATTGTGTGAAAGTTATGAGAAGAACTTTGACTCAAAAGAGGTTTAAGCCGCAAACTGAAGATAATCAGCTCTTGATTTAACTCGATTCCTTCCCATGATCTGACAGCTGAAGAGCTTAGGTAACAATTCAAGGCCTGTTTCTGAAGCTTTGCTGGAATGAAGTGCAACACCAACAGCCCTCACAAATGACAAAGCTGAATCTTTGAGACGACTGTTGGAATGCAGAGGCAGCTCTCTGCTGCTCTCTCCCAGAAAGAGCAAACACTCCACCTCCACGAATCAAGTCCAAGTAATGACTCTTTAATACTGTGCCCTGATCAGGTGAATTCTACACTGTGGATTCTGTGTGGCAGTGGGAGTACCATGACCGCTACTAATGAAATGAACAGAGATTTAAAGAAGAGAGAAAGCTCTGAGAGGCTTTCATAAACATCTCTGTCTCTGGATCAGATTAGATCTACTTTGACATGCAATTATGAAATTGAAAAGTCTGAGATGCAGCTTACGTTTGTTTGCAATAAGAGATTTTACAAAACAGGGCACAGAAGCGCTCGCATCATAAGTGCTAGTGTGTGAGACCTAAAATAATGTTTGCCTTTGTCTCACAGTCTGCAGGGAAAAGACAAAGCAGACAGATGTCTTTATAGTTCCATTTCGGGGGGTTGAGAGGATAAAAGAAAGCAACTAACTAGCTCACGTGTGGCTGCTAGTGAGAACATGTCTGCCTGCAAAGGGAAGCCCTTCGTGTAATCGGCAAATTAGAAGATCTTCTGATAAATAACCAGTTGCCTTTCATCCAGTCTGCTCTCACAACAGCTTGCGTGGATTCATGGGGGGGCGACGGCGGAAAGCACGGCGGGGATGCAGCCAAACGGCGCGCAAGGCATAGCTTGCACACAGAGCTGCCAACTCTTTTGCATTTGTTCAGAAGTTATGGGAGCTTTTGAAGCTCCATAATGATGCCTTTAGCTAGGGTAGGCTTTGTTTACGAACAGCGGGGGACTCCGTGAAAATGAGCAGGCCTTCAAGGTTCGCACAAAAAAGAACAGCGACATCAAAAACAAAGCTTCTATTTCTCGGGTTTCTTGGAGAAAAAACGGGGCGGCTGCGAGGGCGGAAAAGGAAGTGCCGCGAAATGTACATTTCATCCAGTCCACCTCAACACGGGACAAAGGAGGTCTGTCTGTTACTCAGATGTAGGTATTAAAGTAGGTAAGTTGATATATAGCCTCGAGGCTGTGTGGGTTTTGCCCGAAAAGAAATGCTTTAATTACCCTGGCACAGGATCCCAGGGCTCTGAAACACCACCTTGCAAAAAGCCACGGAATTAGAACAGAAAATGTAATTTCATACATTCTCAGCAACGGCTGGACAAGAACGAGCCTGACTCAGCAACGGAATGTAAACTTCTTTACTGATGAAAGCCTAGTCCATATGTTCAGAGAAGCAGCCATTTTCAGACACACGTAAGCTCCAATCTGTGCGGCTCCGATTCGAACCCGAGGCAAATGGAAAGCTTCTGACAATTCCCAGAGAGAAGCTTTAAAGCTCTGCTATTACGGTGTGACTTTAAGGTTGCATTTGCTGGCATTTCGGTAACAGATGGTCACTCAGCGAGACAGTGACATTAAAGTCAGTGTTGCCAACTAAATTCACAATCAGATCATTCACGCTTTCTGTTGATATTTATCCTTGTTTTCAGCAAAACCGTGTTACAAACTGACTGGACGATGACATAATTATCAATATAGCTGTTACGTTATCAACAGTAACAGGACAGATTTCCCCCATCTAATAAAAAAAATCATACACACCCAAAAAAACAAAAACAAACAAACATAAAGACAGCTTTTAAGCCTTTCTCACTTTCTAATAATACATCTCTGTCTGTAATGGTCCCATCAGGACACATCTGGGGGGGAAACTAGGTAGCTCCAATTCATCCAGTTCAAACTGCTTTTTGATTAACTCCACAGCAAAAGTGTGGACGCTGAATTGAGTGTCTAAAAAGTTTCTCGTCCTGTTAAGTGTCCTACATCTTCAGTCCTTTCTTCCTCAAGTCCTCTTTGGCTTCTTTTATCTGCTCCTGGAGCTCTTTGGCAGCCTCGTCGCAGTCGTTGAAGATGGCCACCCGGTATCCCACCGTGGCCAGGGAGTAGCAGCCGAACGACACCAGCAGGTAGACGGGCATCGGCCAGGCGACCTCCCTGTACGTCCGCGGGAGGCTCAGCCCCAACAGGTCGAAGGTGACCAACGCCCAGACGGCGCCGAGCAGCGACACGCCGAGCAGCCACTGCAGAAGTTTGGTCATGGCTGAAGCCGGAGGTGTTGCGGAGAGAGCGACCCGTCCAGGAGCTGCTAGCCCACTTAGCTCGGCGTTAGCGCCGCGAAGCTGCGACGTGCGGGTTACGGAGCTTAAGAACACGCGAGGAAGGCAGACAGTGAGCGGTTAAAGTTCAGAGGACGGCAGATGTGCAATGACACGGAACAGCAAGGAAATCAGCAACAGCTTCAACAACGTGTAGTCCAGTTTTTTTTACACCAAACAGCCCGGTGTTTACCTCTGCTCAAAAGCCACATCAGCTATGCGCCTAAAAGTGACGTCACAAACCGCCAGGCAGTCTGGGAAATGAAGTAACTTCTCTAGTATTTACGCCATAAAAAAATGAACATAAATCAATCAAATTCCAAAACAGCATTTTATTTACTTTTCTATAAACAACATTTTTTCAAATAACTCTCTTTTGAATCGGAATTTTACTTTAAATTTCAAATATCCATGTGTTACTTATCCTACCCTACACTTTTTTAAGATAACTAATGGAGTAAAAAAAAATATATATATATATATATATATATATATATATTATATCTATGTAAATCTATAAATCAGTGGGAAATCTAATAGAGAACAATTTAACAGGTACATGTTTTTAAAAAATCCAATCAGTAATTCTAAGTAACTTCTTTTATTAGTTGGAGTGAATGAAAATACATGAGATTGTTTTTAACTTTCTGTTATCAGTTGTTTATTAACTGCTCTTTAATCTGTATGTCATCATAGTATTTGCTGCTACTTTCGGCACGAAAATACAGTGCTCAGGAGGATATTTTGGAGATGTTAACTCTCAGTATAGCATGTGTGTGTCTGTGTGTTTGTGTGTGTGTGTGTGTGTGTGTGTGTGTGTGTGTGTTTGTGAATAAATGCAGTCACACAATTTAACAGTTTTTAACAATGCCATTGAGTCAATCCTTTACCCTCTATTACAACGTTGACCTTTTTTATTTCATTCTCTTGTTTTGAGAAAGCTGTTTTTAAAATTAGATGTCATTAGAAAACACCAAAAGCAATCCACGATTGCTAATGTTTTTTTTAGAAGCGAGTAATCCAACAACACTTTAATTAAGGGTCACAGAGCTGGTGCTTATTGGTGTTTAATCTCAGTCTCTGCTTTTGTGCTGTGGGCCATGCCTGTTCATGTGGGGCTGTGAACCGTGTAGGTGAAGAGGGCACAGATCCCTCAAGGGTGAGATCAGGAGTGGGAGGAGATGTAAACATTATCCACTGCTCTAGAGAGAAGGATACACCAAATAGCCAATGAGAAATAAACATCATTCTTTGAGGAAAATGGAGAGTTATTCTTAGGACTGTGTTGTTTACAATTGTCTGCATTTGTGTTAATAGTGTGAGTGAAGATCAGCGCGTCTGCTGGAGGGGTGGAGTCTGCTTCCAGTGTTTATGGAGACAGTAGTATACAAGACTGGTGGACAGTCTGTGCGCTGTGTAAAGTTTTCGAATGCTGGAATCAACAATCATCTTTGCAAGCATGCCAGGTCAAGTTTTCACGAGCAGGTTTTGTAAAACAGTTCTGATATACAGTCTCAGCGGATACTTATTTCCTTAGATTTTTTTCCAAGGATTAACAGAGTCTATGGTGATCCAACAAGATTCTTTACAGCAGAAATGTGTTTCCCAGTCTGGATCTACGTGTACACATCCATGTTTCGGCTGTTTTGTGTTCTGGTGATCTGATGGTGGTGTGATCATTTCATTCTGCCATTAAGGTGGGATAAAAACACCCAAACAAGATCTAAAAAAAGCCTTTGATATGACAAACTTTATCTTTTTTAAATGATCGGACATAACACAACCTCAAAAGGAGTAAATCCAAAAAACACACGTGACAAAACACCAGGGTACAAATCCCACAAGCAGAAAATTCATCCAAACACTAGAAGGAAACAGAAACCTGGAAACACCATAAACACCTATACGCTCCCGAACTCTGAAGTGTGTTTTATTATGTGTCGCTGCTAATTTTCGTCGTCTCACTCAGACAAACAAAAGTAGCTGGAAATGCATGTTTTCCCCCAAAATGCATTAAATACATTAGAAAGTTTTACAAAACTGTTAGATAAATCAATTAATTGATTATTGTTTGATATATCAATTCATTCCGTGTTACGTCATTTTTTGAGGCCTACTGTGTTCAGTATTCAGTCCGGGGCCACATTTGCTACGCTTAATTCGATGTGATGCGATACACATCAGCCTGTCGGGCTCGGGTTTCTCCGCTGCATTGACACAACAAACTGATTCCAGGTGGGATTGTCCATGACAAACAGTATCACTCCGAACATGGAGGAGTGGGCCGCGTCCTGCCCGGAATGCCGGAGCCGGGAGCAGCAGCGGGAGCGTGTGTGATGCTCAGTGGGAACGCTCAAACTGGCTTTTTCTCAGTGGATATCCATGCCAGCTCCTGTTCCGTTCCAGTTCTCAGGAAACCTGTGCTCCAGCCGGGAAGGCCTGGCAGACTCAACACAACAGCCTGCGAGCGGGGGGGCGGGGGAGGAAGGGGGAGGGGGTGGTTGAAACTGAGAAAATGAGATGGAGACTAGGAGAAAAAAGGCAAAGTGGGCCATGCGGGGTAACACCAAACGGGAGGCAGAGATTCGGAGGACCAGGGCCTTTTTTTAAATTTATTTATAAAACAAAAAAGGAGGGCTTCATGACCGGTCGGACAAATGAAAGCTGAGAGGAGCAGGAATGAGGAGGAGTGGTGACCGAGCATGTTGAGCAAAGAAGAGAGGGCAACGGAGGAATGAGGGGAGGGGGGAGCAGACGGGGTCGTGTTATAGAGGGGGGGGGATCGGGGGATTTGCAGGTGCAGCTTGAACAACACATGACCTGAATGGTGCATTAAATCCAGCTGTTGCCTATGCAGATTTTGATTCAGCCCTCCCCAACGCCTTCAGCACCTTCAGGTCTGATTCCTTCACCATGTCGAGAAATGATGGAGACAAAGTGTGAGCACGGTTTTACACAGGCGATGGCAGAGCCCTTACAGGAGATGCCTCAAGAGCAGGAATAGGAGTGACTGGGTGACTCCAGGCAAAGAGGAGAGATAAGAGGCTCAGATAAAACAGGAAAGGTGGTAATGGAGAGTTCTGTTGACTCTATCTCTCCGGCTTTGTCAATATTAGTGAAGTGAAAGGTTCCGATAAGAATGTTGACCACTAAAAAGCAATACAAGGCTCGAGATTTAGCCAGACAAAGGTTGTGTAATATCTCAAGTGTGTAAAGCAAGAACTGGTGAGGGTTGAGGAGAAAGTACGGACTGTCAAAATGCTGTTCGAGATAACAATAGAGCTCAGGCTCAAAAACAGGAACCCTCTGTTTCCTGAGCTGGAGACCAAAGCTGTGTGTTGTGTTGTCATTAGATGGGAGTTTAGATGTGTGTAGAGAAAGGAAAGAGTGACTTTGACCCTGTCACCATATCCACAGACCAGACAGGGGATATCGCTGGAGGAGGAGTGAGCAACGATATGTATCTGGGCCGAGTCGAGTTGATATTAATATCACTTGATGTCTTTCAGTCTGAGGTCTGTGGCTCCAACTCAGCTTGACCAAACTAAACACAATCCTGCAAACTCTGAGCCCTCGGCCACTTTACCAATAGACATGTTTATATAGGGATAAAACATTTAATTTCTTAGTTTTAAAAATGTGTTTATAACTCTTTTGAGGCCAGTGGAGCTGAAGTGAAGCAGCCTCGGTTCGTGTTCATTCAGGAACCTCCACCTTTCAGCTGTTTTGGGTCTTCTTTGTGTAGCACACACAAAGGTGAAACTGGTTATATTTGTCACTGAGAACGAATGAATGAAGATCAATCCTTGGGAGATTTTAAAAGACTTTATGAAGCACAGCCAGGTATCATAAAAGCCGTTTTGATGTCTTTGCTGTCAGTGTTTAAATGTTCAAAATAAACAGATTATGTCTTACCCTCTTGCAAACATCTTATCAGATGGAAACATTAATCCAGCACATGGTGAAATTACAGCTAAGAGTGAGTACCGTGTAGATAAACAGATTATATGATGTCAAGAAAAAAAACAGTGAAAGGGTTAGAGTTAGGAACTGATAGAATCTGAACACTTTGCCCTCCATCTTTTTAAACAGGAATCATTCATTCATTGCACTGTCCCTGAAATGAGTGGAGTCATGATCTATTATCCCAGTGTCAGATTTACCCACTTTGCATAGATAAATTCACATTTTGCATATGTATGAGTTTACAAGGCTTAGATCTAGTGTTTGGATTGTATCGAATGTTTCTCTGCTGCAGGGAGATATGGGAAAACCTTCTTTCTCCGTCTATGCTCTTTATGCTTGGAATTAGCCCGAAAACACCATCAGCCTAAAAACGCTCCCCTATTTACATACTTTATAGGTTTTCAAGAACAGCCCTGAAGGAAAGTCACTCTGCTGCGTAGTTTTTTTTTTCCTGGAGGAGCAGTGTGTGGGATTCAGCTGGTGAGGGTTTGGCTTTTCATAATCCAAGCCGTGTTATATCGTACTAACATTTTCTTTTTTATGTGAATTTATGTGAATGTTTTTATTTGAGAGCAAACGAAATAAAAAGTCAAAAGACTCTAATAGCAGAAGAAGTGAGGAAAAATAAGTGGACGCTACACAGACTATAAAATGGCTGCAGGACCTTGGTTCTTGACCCCCTGTTATCGTTTATGTGTCCAGCTTGAAATGGCACCTGCCTCTTGGACGTCACTTTGCACCTTAACAGATCATCTTAAGTGAAGCTAAGATTCCAGATGACTTTGCAAGTTTAAGAAGAGGCCCCACTGACAGCTGAGGCCACCATTAATCAGTGGAGATGAATCAGGATGGAAAATACTCTGATTCTTCTCATCGGGGATCCAGGCATTTTTTACTCTCTTGAGCACGCAGCTGATAAAAATCTTCGAGCCAAGATCAATTTAGGGTGGCAACGGTCAGTTTTAAATTGCTGAGATAATAGTTGTGGGACCCATGTGCTATTTAGGACCTACTTAACGAAGTCTTGGTGCACTCAAGTGGGTGTAAGGTCAGAATGTGGCCAAGTGTGACCAGCCTTAACCATATGAGAGGAGCACTTGTCTTGCCCTCAGTGCCCTTAGTAAAAAAGACCCACCTGTTTCGGTTGCAGCAGTGAAATGGTGAAGGAATGTGCCCCCTCTCCCTTCGGTCCTGATGAATCTCATCATGTGGCCTCGTTTGTGCCACCAGTTCTTTGTTTGTTGACCTTTCTGAGACGTCGTTACTTGTCATCTTCATGGGTTGCGTGATTCAGCCCAACATCATAAACCGTTCGCCTAAATTCACGGCCCACAATATTCGTGTGTGTGTGTGTGTGTGTGTGTGTGTGCCTGATGAAATGCGACTTGTCAGTATTCCAGCCATTAACAACGAGCCGTAAGCTTGATGATTTCACCCTCCTTCCTGTATGGGTTCTCTCCTCTCACCCTGAAACACAATGTCCTTCAGCATTTCCACTATTGACAGCGGAACTAATTGGCACATGGTTATGAGAGTTCCCCTTTGGCCATTTTAAATTGGATTGCACATTTTCCTTCAACGGCTAAGTCTGCATACAAGACCGGAGGAGATATTGATTATAAATGTATTAATTTAGGTCAGTGCGGTATACATGGCGAGGGGCGAATGATGAAGGGCTACATGTCTAGACAAGAATGAAATGACCCCATTGTAGGTTTGCATAATGGACAGTAATGTGAGGAAGAGGGCGATTTTGTCTGATATCCAAATGAAATGGCCATATGATTACAACTAATACACAGATTTTGTAGAGAAAGGAGCTCATCTAAATGTGTCTGCTAAAAGTATCCAGATGTAAATCATCAGGAACAAAACCACTGTCACTGGTTTATTTCAGTGCAGATAGTGTAAAATCTCCCCATCGTGTTCATAATAAAAAAAAAAAACTGATTGACAACCTGGATAGGCCAACATGGCTGAACACAAGTTTACTGATGATAACTCGCAAAATCTGCCCCTCTAACATTTGATTCACATCACAAAGAATTCACAATATTAGGGTCTGAGCTTTAAGTTGTGAACACATAAAATAAAAAGGTTAAACAGAATCCACATCCTAAATGGTCAGTGACTGGCTTTGCTTCATGATTAGCTTAGTTCAACTCCTTTTTTTAATCTCAGACTTGTTCCAAACGGTTTCTGTGTCTTAGTAACAAGCTATTTAGAGCTACTGGAGACATTATTCCCACAAAGTTTATCCAGCAATGTAGCTGCAGTTGCGTACAAATAGCATGATCCCAGACTAAATAGAGTGGGACTGATGCAACCCTCTGTGTTGGGAAGCACGCAGCGTGAGATATTGAAGCTGATACCTGCTACGCCTTAAACTCAGAAACGTAAGGTGGGAACGGAGCTGACTCTGCATGCCAGTGGGATATTGGCCCAGCAGGCAGGAAGGCAATGAACCACTGACATTGTTGCTACTGAGCTGTCTCCACGTGTGCGCACACTGATGTGGTAATGAACCTCAATTATGTTTATTAGAAATATCAAAGGGGACGAGAGGCGGATCTGCAGGGTCTCATTTGTGTGCCAGCAATAAACAACTGCTGTTTAGTAGGAGGACTAACTGGATCTTCAGGTCACTCTTCATTTATCTGGTTCAATCAAGTTTATTTGTGATGAACAATGGCAGACAGATGCATCAACCAATCACCTGTCAAGTTCTTTTGGAAATTAGTATTTCAAGTCATTTCGAGCACACAAACTTTCCTTCCACGTTCTGCCAGTCTTCATAGATAATGCCACCTTAAGTCAACAGAAGGTTTTGCTTAGCTTAGCAAAACAAAATCCCAGGAATTCAGACAATTAGACGCAGATCACTATGTTATTGACATATTTAGAAAACCGAAACAGTTCATGTACACAGTACATGATTGCAAATGCATTCATGTTGATACGCTAAAAGTCAAGGATTGAAGGATTATGGATTTGTGGTGGGCAGTGGGTAATACCCTGAAAGCTGATTGTGGCCACCCCAGACAGGCATAGCTGTCTGTCGTGCATCATAAATAATGTGGAGCAGGTTTGTCCCATCTGTCTGGACGTGGGCAGCCCTGCTCCACTGCTGCTGCACT